AGACCCGGATGCGAACCACAGTAGCTCTATATTGCCTATTATAAATGTATAAGTGTGTATGCACTTTAAGAATATTCTTTTTACAAAATAAACACAGCTGCATAATATGCCCACTAATTAATTTAAAAAATGATGGTTTTGAATAAGACGAGTACTATAAACAGACTAAACTGTACTATATAATTATGATTAAAAAATGTTTAAATTGATCATTTACCTAAGTTTTGAACAAACATTTAGAAAATATACATATAGTCTGCATCTGATAACGATAAATTCAAAATTAATGTAATAGGTTTCAGAAGTCTGTTTCTAAATTTGTTTATCAATAATCTCAAATAATTGATTTTGTTGGGGAACATTCCAAATATGTAAAGAATTTTATGGTAAACTACACTTACATACGTAATGTGTCATTAGGTCATTTCGCCTTCCATTGAGTGAGTCTAAGAATATTCCTCAAGAAATTCTTTTCCAGAAAGAAATTCTATAATAATAGAAATAATATCAACATAAATAAAATGTGAGAATTTTCGATTACGTTTATCGGGAAAAAATTCTCCGAATTGTGTTATTCTTTTTAAACCCCACAAATACTGAAATAAAGTATTCTTTTCATTCTGTGTCCAACTACAAAGATTGTCTAAACATATATAACATTATTAAAAAAAGCCCTTGTACCAAAATTATCAAGAAGATTTGTCATCATCACCTTCAACAACTTGTTTATAAAAATTTACTTCGCATGCATATACTAAGCCACTAGATTTCGTGTGCATAGTAATTTTTTTTTTGGTAAATATTGCGTAGAATCTGCTTAAACGATGAAATGCGGGGTGATTACTTATTAATATTAATATGCACCCTTTTTATTGTACTTTCTATCCCGCAATTGACTAGTTCGAAACTAATAGATCCCATGTTCAACCAAATCTGTTTACTTGCAGTATATATGCTAACATATTCAACTTTTAGGTTTATTTTCGGTGTTTAATTCTTGTTATTTCTAAGAACAAAAGTTATTCCTAAATTTCGTAATTGTTGAAACCTCATGACGAGAGTGTGTCTCAAAATTCCTTTCGTGACTACTCATACATTATTGAATGATTTTCAAATGTTTATCTATTTAGATATATATTTAGATGTCTAAGTTACACAATCGAAGGGTTTTTTCTTTTTATAGTATTATTTTTTATTGATAAGCATACCCCACAATCGAATATATATAAGTTGTAAATTTTTAACTGCATTTTTCGATCTAATTTTGTTCAAAAAAAATGTCTGCTGAATTTTTGAAATCATTATCAAATGATTTTGTTAAATTACTCTCTAATGTTGAAGACTATAATGTCATCATTAAAGTTGGAGAGTCTCCAAATATTTTACACTTTAAAGCTCATTCCTGCGTATTACGTGCCAGGTCAACTTACTTTCATTCAGCTTTGTCTAGTGATTGGGTTAAGACTGATGGAAACTTTATCGTGTTCGAAAAATCTAATATCTCTCCAGAAGTTTTTCAAATGATTTTAAAGTAAATAAAAAATAACCTATTACTTACTACATGTCTTTTATTTATTCTTTCGTTTGTATGCTGTTTGTAAGTTTTACTACGCGATTTCTCATTTGAATTTTTGTCTCTTTTCTCCATACTTCTTTCATATAGATATTTGTATTCTGGTACTATTTGTCTCGAAAATCAAAATCCAACTCGTTTAATAGATCTCTTAGCTGCCGCTGACGAATTGATTCTCACCGAACTCGTAAATTATTTGAAAGAATATCTTTTAACATATCATGACCAATGGATTCGTCAACATTCACTTCAAATTTTATATCATACTGCTTTTCACCTTTGTAAAGAACTTCAAGACATTTGCCTAGAAATTATTTGTGAAAACCCTGCTTCGGTATTTGGAACTACAGCTTTTACTGCTATCGATGAATCCGCTCTAATCTCAATCCTTAAACGTGATGACCTTCAGATGGATGAATTAGAATTATGGGATTATTTAATTCAATGGGCTATTGCAAAATCTCCAAAACTTAAATCCGATATTTCTAAATGGTCCGATGTCGATTTTCAAGTGTTACAATTCACTTTGAAAAATTGTATACCATTCGTCAAATTTAGTCATATAAACCCTAACCAAATACCAACTCGATTAAGCTTTTTTAATCGAATCATACCCCAATTTACTTTTAATATTGATTCACCAGATGATCAATCCATAATTTCAGATGATTCAATCAATTCCAATATTATCAAATTAAAACATGCAACAGTTATTTCACGGTGGATTGATCGTAATGAAGATCCTGATCAATCTCATTTATACCGAAAATCCCCATCTAATTCATTTAAACTTTTGCTACGCGGCAGTCGAGATGGATTTAGCGCACGAAAATTTCACGAACTTTGTAATGATAAAGGTGCAACTATCGTAGTTATGAAGGTCGCTAACACCGGTGAAATAATTGGTGGTTACAATCCAGAGAATTGGAAAGGTGGATTTCTTGGTAATTGGACTAAGTCGTTGGATAGTTTTACTTTTTCTTTGGGCGTTGAAAGTGAAAACCTAAAAAATTCAAAACTAAGTAGAATTAAACAAAGTAATTCTAGAATGGCCATATTTAGTGCCGATGTTCGTGGTCCATGTTTTGGTAATAGAGATTTGTGGATGCCAAATTACAATAACTTATCGAAAAAATGTTCAAGTAGAAATTCGTATTACGAAAAAAATATAATTGATTCTCAAGAATTTGATATAGAAGATTACGAAGTCTTTCAGGTTTCTCAAAAACATTTAGTCAAAGAAAGAAAGATATAAGCTTTTAATTTATTTGTATTTAGCGTTAATCATTTTATGTTCATTTTAAATAAAGTATTTGTAAATATTCAATGCTCTTATTTTATATTTCAAAAGACCATGTTTTTATTTGGGAAAAAATACCTAATTTTGCAATTAATGCCTGCCCTTGAAGTTGAATCAAATATTATTAGTCAAATATTAAATATCGATAAATAAACATGTATCACATTAGAGGTTCAAGTCCCTCTCGTCGGGTAGATACTTTAATAGTATATTTCTAGCACCATTAAAGTCTCTATCCATTTTTATTTTGCAGTCGTTGCAAGCAAAGAGCTTGCTTTTTCTTAAAAGTTGATTTTGCCAACCACATGCTTCGCAAGTCTTTAAGTATACGCTTCCTCACAGATCACGTTTCGATCATAATACTCGCTGGAATGTAATACTTTGGAACCCATGGATTTTTTTCACCATCCGTGAGGTTTCAAATTTTGGGAGTAAAATGGTTTGGTAATTTTCCACTAATCATAGCGCAAGTATGTGGTGCAACTCAGAAACCAGATTGCATTTTTTCTGGAAATACATAGTACTTTTTTTCTGAGCTTGCTTCTTGCTCATATATACCTTTTACCAATTTTCTTGTCTGCTTTGGATTGGTATATATCTGCTTTTTTAAATAGTTGCACAATTTTATCAAAGTCATTTTTACCCCACTTGACGATTTTACCTTGTGGGTCATAACATGTGGTGAATATATGTACTTTTGGATTAATGTTGTTAGTCAAAGTTGTTTTTGCTAATATCAAAATTTGTCTAAATTAAATTATCTAAATGTTTAAATGTCTAAATTTATTTTTTAATAGTAATTTCGACTAACAACATTATTCTAGATCTGCTTATTATCTATCCGCTAATAAGCACTTGGTTCTTACACTTCTCAAATAGTACGGATACATATATGTAGTATTTTTTACATCTGTTTCTAGTGATGATAATGATATTTTTGATTTGGGTATGGGTTGTGATTAGGGATCTGCAATCCTGGCAGGTGCTCATGCTTAATAAAAGACACAGACATGTTATAAACATAGATACAAAAATATCTGGTAGTCACTTTTGAGATACAGACACAAAGCATTTGGCACATGTTGGGTACTTCGTATTATATATAAAAAATCGATTCTAAACTATAGTATCTGGCATTAGGATATAAAGTATTTATTTCAAAAATATTTAATATATTTACAAAATATTTAAAATTTTTGTGCTTATAGATATAAGCAACTTTACAAGCATTAGTATTAGATATAATAATTAATAAACATTTGCAAATTTCTAGTTGTAATATAATAATATATTTAAAAAACATATTGTTTGTATTTTTTATTGTAATTATATCATATCAATATAGCTATAATCCTAATAAAATGGCTGCTCAAAAGGCCTACTATTATAGCAACAGGCACAACTACTATTGTTGCCAATACAAAAATCTAGAAAGATCTGAATGCCTTAGAATTCTTGACAATCAACTTGTATACTGTATTTGCTATATAAACTTCCATCACAAATTGAATTGAAGTAACTTTAGAAGTATCTATTTTTACACTAAAGATGAAAAACAAGAAACCTTTATTATAGGTAAAATTTGCTAATATTTAAATATCTAATTTAAAATGCATAATATTGAAAGTATAACAGAAGCTCTTTGGTTTTGCAACCTTAAACATATATATATATACAAAACTAGCTCAATTATAAATTCTAAACTCAAATTCAATACTATATCACTTCTTTTAGAAGTATTGGATTTCAATATAAAATAAATCAAATCTATATTTTTTGGCTTGCAAAGATCTATTTGCAAGAAAGTAGTCAAAACCTAGTTGAAGCTTTAGAATTTCTTATGACTGATTGAACTAACTAGTTATAGAATAATAAAGAAATAAGTCTTATTTTTTATACTAAATAAAACTTGTTAACTAAGTATGAAGAGTTCTAACTACAACAGACTCTTAACTAATTCTTTAATATTAGCTATCCAAATTTTTGTAAAGAGTTAACTCTTGTTAATCTTTATTAAAATTTTATTAACCTTGTTAACCTTTGCAAAGAATATCTGTATATTAAATGTTACAGCTAATGCTAAAGTTTGGCTGATGTTGAAGCTAAAAAATCTGATTGGCTAAATTTGCAGATCATCCTAACCCTAACCAATCAGATTTTTTAGCTTCAACATCAGCCAAACTTCAGCATCAGCTGTCACATTAAATATTAAAATAAGCTTGATAAACATAATAGATATTGTACTGAGTGTGCCACCATACCTCTTTTTATATTTAGCCCTGAAGTAGTTTTTAAAAAAAAACCAGATCTATCTATTTCAAGTTTTGATACTATATCTAATAAACTTGAACTTAAAACTAATAGTCTACTATCTAAATCTAGATCTAGCACCTCTGTAGTAAAAATAAATTTTAATATTTTGATTATTCTTCTAAAATCAGATATTTCTTTATTTATAATAATATAATTATAATAACAAGTAGCTCATCAGAGTTAGCTTATCATATAACTACAACAAAAATTAAAGTTTTGAAATCTTTAACTAACAACTTATACAAATATAGTGAGAAAACAACTAGTATACCTACAAGTGTACTGCTTAGTTTGCTGTTTTTACAGAGTCACAAAATTTTTAGATAATTTTAAACAAGATAAAAAACTACCTATAGATCTAAATACTTATAACTTTATCTTTACTTCTTGATTTGTATATATGATTGATACTCTTGTCTCTTATGAAAAATATATGATTTTAATAGATAATCCATCTGTCATCTGGAGAGAATCTGCAAATTTTATAAGTAAATTTTACTATTGAGCTAAATATAGAGAGATTATATTTAAAACTTTTTTTCTTACTAAGTAAATCACTCTTGGGCTCATAACAAAAATTGTAGAGCTTATCAAGATACATCTAATAGTAGTAAGAATGTTAAAATTAGCCTAGTAGTTCTTAAGAAATCTTTGAAAACCCTTTTGCCAATATATAAAATTTCTTTAAAACAAATCGATTTTTTTAAAGAAATTTTATATGTTAGTGAAATGTTTTTCAAAGATTTTTCAAGAACCACCAGACCAATTTTAATGTTCTTATCATCATTAGATATGCCTTGATAAGCTCTACAACTTTTGTTATGAGCTCATGAGTGATTTACTTAGTACAGTCAGAGATTTTTTCAAATTTAGTAAATTGCATTTTGTGTAATGAATTATGTTTTAGAATTTTGATCATTGATTTTAGAATGATCTACAAAATTTCTCAAATTTTTATTGACTTATAGTTATATTTTTGACCAATGCTTTTAGATCTTTTACAGTATTTGTTGATAATTAATAATTATATATGTAAAAGGTAGAGGATCCAAGGTTCTATAATCAATAAAAAATTAATCATAATCATTTTTTTTAATAAAATAAATGAGACTTGAAAAAAGGTAAATTTAAACTTACAATTCTTGGTTTACTAAATTTCTACACTTTTATTACAATATTACTACATTTTTTTTTTATAGTATTTAGTCTTAGTCAGAATAAACTTGTTTGGAAAAGAAAAATAGCATTTTGCACTAGGTTTTTTAGAGCTTAGTTACAATAATCTTGAACTCAGAAGAAAAAATGTATTAGCAAATGCACTTTTGTAAAAACACTATGCTGACTTCTTTGATCTTAATTTGAATATTCTTAGATCAAAAAGAAAAAAAGAATCTTGAATCAGAGAAAGATATCAGAATTTTAAATCAGAAGGTA